CTGATATATTGCTTTTAATTAAAATCTATGGTTTTTCTTGCCAGGCAGTGGTGGTGCACACCTTTAATCCCAGCACTCGGGAGGCAGAGGCAGGAGTTATCTCTGTGAGTTCAATGCCAGCCTAGTCAACACACCAAGTTCCAGGGCAGCTACAGCTACACATAGTTAACTCTGTATTAACAAAAAACCAACCAACCAAAAATTACCCTTAGAGGTAATTGCAGGCATAAAAATACACTAAACCTCTATGAATCTCCAGACAAGTTCTGAGGGCTATCTGTTAACTCATTTAATACTAACATAAGTTCATAAGCGGTGTAAGTGGTGTGTTTTATTTCATTTGTAATTATAAAACTGAGGCACATGGAGAGAAAGCAGGCTGCCCAAGATCACAAAGTATGAACTTACAGGATAATGATTTGAACCCAGAACATTTGCCCACCGTCACTTCTGAGGTACTTTATGTGGAATAAATCATATAGATGAGAAAGCAGAGCTCTATGTGGCCTCTCCTTAATTCATATCTTCAAACGCTTTTGTTTGTAACAGCATGACAGCAAAATATTTAATATAAAAACCTCGAAGCACTAGATTTAAAAGTGCTTTCCCAGCACTGTTTTGGAAACCTGGTGGTTTGAATTGGGCAGTTTTTCTTTCTCTTCTTTGAAACACTGTAAGACCTTAGCGGTTGGATTTGTTTCACTTAAAACATTCACCTAACAGAGCCATTATTAGTGAAGGGCCAACTTTAAATGTGTGCCCAGGACTGAAGATGCAAGAGGAGATCCAGAAACTCAAGCATGATGTAGCCTTTCCCGTTTCTAGCAGTCACCTTGCATTTAGCAATTGTTGCAGAGCATTGGTGACTCGATACCTGCTGTCAACAGCCATGTCTAGAAATCCTGCCCCAGTACCCGGCTGCAAAGGATCTTTTCAAAGCAACTATACAATAAAGAACAATGGATGATGTTATCTAATGTTATCTCCAAAGATGAGAATGTCTTACAACATACCTCCGTGTTGTAAACCGTCATGCTACACTGTTGAATCTGCCCAAGGGGAGTAACAAATGGCCCTTTCCTTAAGTCATTAAGATATTCATTGACTAGATAAGACAATCTGAATCGGACTGGAAGACGTGAGCAATACCTTTTAACTGCTCCTGTCTCTATCTTCTCCAAACTACACAGCCAAAGAGAACACTGGGGAAACAATCATGGAAGTCTAGACAAAGTCTAGAACAAGGATGGGGTGTATTCTTAGATGCATCAAAGAAACTACTTTCCTACATTGCTTAAGCTAATTTGCATATTTGTTTCCTCACCGCAATGAAATCACAAATATATTGAAACTGGTTGGCTAGCTCATCATTACACAAAGCAGTATGTAGAAACCCTTCCCCAGTTTTCCGGAAGTGCCTCCACCAATGATGCTATCCTGTACCCTTTTCAAGTAACAAGGTCTTTTAATTTAATGAATTTTGTTTGCTTGCTTGTTTATTTACTTTGAGACGTGGGCTTACCACCCTGCCCAAACTGGGTTAACTTCACTCTGTAACCCATGCAGGCCTTGAAATTATGAGCCTTCTGCTTCAAGCCTACAAGTGAGAGAGATCATAGGCTAGCATCCCAGGCTGAGGGAGAGTTTTAAAATTCACCCTTTTAAAGTTAACCTTCAATTTTTTGTTTTTGTTTTTTTTGGGAGGGGTTGTTTGTTTGGTTTGGTTTGGGTTTTTTTGTTTTTTGTTTTGTTTGTTTGTTTGTTTTTGTTTTTTTTTTTCGAGACAGGGTTTCTCTGTGGTGTTGGAGTCTGTCCTGGAGCTAGCTCTTGTAGACCAGGCTGGTCTCGAACTCACAGAGATGTGCTTGCCTCTGCCTCACAAGTGCTGGATTTAAAGGCATGTGCCACCACTGCCCGGCAACCTTCAAAATTTTTACTAAAGCAGATGTGGTGGCACATGGCTACAATAACTCAGGGAGGTGTGTGAAGGAAGATAAAGAGTTCAAAGCCAGCCTGATCTTATACACACACACACACACACACACACACACACACACACACACACACTCATACATATACACACACACACACATATATACTCACACACTCACATACTCCCACACATATACATACACAACATACTCATACACACACTCACATACTCTCATACATACATATATACACACAGAGACTCACATACACACACAGATTCACATACACACACTCACATACTCACACATACAAACACACACTCACACATACAAACACACACTCACACACTCACATACTCACACATGCACATATATACACACTCACATATACTCACATACAGACACACACATACTCACACACACACACTCACATACTCACACACACTCACATAGACTCACACATACACACACATACATACTCACATACACATACACTCACATACTGACACACACACATATTCACACACACCCATACACTCATCCACACACATACTAACATACTTACACACATACACACACAAAGAAATAAAGATGGCACCACATTTCTTCATTCTTTACAGCTGTTGATTGTTATTGGACAACTTAAGAGAAAATGCCAACAGTGAATAAGTATTAATTACATTGGTTATTTTGCAAGTACCTGGTACTGAACGTCCTATTTGCTGTTTAACCATAGGCAGGTAGGGAAGATGACAAAATTGTATGCAATGGTTAATATTAATCTTCAACTTGACGTGATCTAGAATGACCCACAAGACAAATTTCTGGGCATGTCTATTATTGGATTGGGATAAGATGAGAAAACCCATCCTAAATGTGGATGGCTCCTTTCCACGGCCTGTGAACCTGGACTGAATAGAAAGGAGAAGGTTGGCTGAGCACACCACTCATCACTCCCTGCTTCCTGACTGCAGATGCAATGTGACCAGCTGGCTCGCACCCCAGCTGCCATGACTTCCCACCATGACGGATGACCTTGGAATCACCCACCATGACGGATGACCCTGGAATCATCAGGCACAATAAAGCGTTCCCTTTGGAAGTCGCTTTTGTCAAGTATTTTGTCACAGCAACAAGAGAACTAATACATCTGACTTAAGCCACAGGACAAGACAAGCTGCTGCTTAGAAAAGATAAATGGCTTGGCTAATGCTCAATAAAAACCAGATTGCAACTTGAGCCCCTAGTCTCTCTCCTCCATGTTCTTTTCGCTCACCCTTGGATACATCCTTTGATTTAGTACTACATTTAAGAATGAATTTGAGGGCTAAGTATAACGGTACATACATTTAGTCCTGGCATTCGGGAGGCAGAGGCAGGTGGATCTCTGAGTTTGAAGCCATCCTGGTCTCTACAGCTAGGTACAGGGCAGCCAGGACTGCATAGTGACATCCTGACTAACAGATAAATAAATAGCTTAAAAAGAAAAAGAATCCAGGAGCCTTGGGTGTAGCTCAGTAGAAGAAGCACCTGACTAGCAGCCAAGAAGCCTTGGGTTAAACCCTCGGCAACCCCCACTCCCACTCCCCCAAAGAGAGAATTTCTGTAGAAGTCAAGAATTCAGTAGAGAAACTAAACTCTGGAGATTGCTATTGAGAGCAAGGTTAGCAGTTCCCTGTGTCCGTCACACCTTTCCTTTGATCAAATTGTCACCTGCCCTGCCGAGAAATGCCTCTGTGTCTGTGAACATGGCTGTGGAGGGATCACAGTGCAACTCAGAATGGATTAGGGCTGGCTGTCCCTGAAAGCAGTGCAAAGGTCACGTTCATTTTTACTCAGCAGCGCTGGAGTACCAACGTGGTGCAAGATTAGTAAAACCATTATGCAGTCTTGATTGTCCCCTACTTACAATGTATCCCAGGCTAACTTTAAAATCACAGTAATGCTCCTGCCTCAGCCTACCAAGCACTGGCATTACAGGTATGCACCCTCTCACCCCTGCCCTTACCCTGTAAGCTTGTGAATTCCTAGCAGCAGTGGTTTTGTAGACTTCACAGGGTGGAAATTTATTTTGTTTCTTAAGGTGGTGTGTTATTATCCCGGAACTCTCACCAAGAACAGAGTGTGGGAGCCAAGTCCAAAGATACATGTCTGCAATACGGCCCTTGGGAGGCTGAGACCAAAGCTCACACTGAAGGTCAAGCTGGCTGTATAACACAGTGAGGCAGGGCCTCAAAAGAAACAAGAGAAAGAAAAGGGTGCCCTGTGGCTTGTGGATGTTTGCCCTTGGAATGGAAAGATAAGTTAGAATTGAAAACGCAAAATCAAAATGCCGCTTGTTCTAGGGCAAGGTCATAGTTACAGCTTCAGAGTCTGAAGGCGCTGAAATAAAGTAACCCAGAGGACAGCACATCTCTGTAATCCCAGCCCTGGGAAGGCTGGGCCACAAAAACTCCAAGTTCTAGGTCAACTTGAGCTACATAGTATGACCTTGTCTCAAATAAACAAAAGAATTTTTTTCAAAAAAAAAAAAACTAAAAGAAAAATTTCAAAGCAACTTCACTTAAACTATGTTTGGAAGATGTATGCAACGGACCCTTGTAGAAATTTCTTCATAATTCAATAAAGAATGCAAGGTAGACAAAACACGTATTGTTGTTCCTGGGATCTGGGGTCGCGTCTGGGTCCCTAGGTATTACAGAGGAAATTGGGGTCCTCTCTTGAGGAGCTTAGTCTCATTAATAAAAGAATTTAAGAATGGACTCAAATGGAAACTCAGGGACAATTTCACTAAGGTTGAGAAGGAAACGTCTCAGGGGAGGCAAGCAGCTGCCCAGAGGAGGAGGGGAACCCAGGAGAGAAGGAGAGGAAAATTCGCCCTTTTAGCTGGTGTGAAGATCAGCCATATTGAGGACAAACAGTCACCCGACAGGGAAAAAGCCTTTGGAGAAAGAGGAAGGAAGACTAATCGTGTGGAAACCCAGGTTAAGAAAAGCATGCCTAGGGAAGAAAGGGGGAGAAGAATTTAAAGTTACACGTGTCTAGATTCAGGAGCACAAGCCAACTTACAAAGCTGCACAGCTGTGGTACATGGGTTATCTCACTAGAGAAGAGGATCCTGGGAAGGAAAAGAACAGTATCTCATTTTTAGCATGGCTTCAGGTGAGCCCACCTTCCCAGGGTTTGTCCCGTGGCCAAGAGATTGACTTGCCCCAACTGGAAGGTTAGGTTTCCACCCAGGCCAGAGAATCTACTCTCTTGACCAGGAGTTTTTTCTACTCTAACATTATCATGAACTTCACTTTAGCTCTAAATAAACTATGGATTTTTCAGGGAGGAAGATGGCAAAATTAACAGTAAACTTCAGAAAGTACTTTTACTTCTGAAAACAGGCAAAGCGGCACGTTTGTAAACCTAGCTCTTGGGATGTGAAGCAGGAGGGTCAGAAGTTCATGGTCACCCTATGGTCTACACCACTCAATGTCAGCCTCGGTTATATGAGACCCTGTCTCCATAAAAAAAAAAGTTTTACATTTAACAGATGGAAAGTATTTCTTGAATGCATAGAAACAAATATTCTCTTACCCACTTGAAAGGATCTCCGATTCTGTCTTAGAAATCTCTCGTTGAACTCTGTGTCAGTGAGCAGATCTTCTGGGGAAGAAAAAAATAAAAGAAATGCGGCACAATAAAATATAAACCCTTTTGCCTCAAACAATAAAGCCAAGTTGAGTTGGTTTGTGTTTACAAATTATGACTATTTTAACTAGCAAAGAATTCAAGACCACATCATTTTATCTATCATTATCTCTGTAAAAGGTCAGCCACAGATTATATCCTAACTTTTACTGGTAGTGATTTCTTGCCACTTCATGGTAAGCTACCCCATGAACCTTTGGGAACGAACTCCATGGAGCAATAAGTAACAGTAGCTTCCTTTCATGGCTTTGCCCTCAGAGGTCTCCCACACTGTCCATTTAATTATGACATTGCCCATTGTCTCAGTCAAGCTTCAAGGCCTTCTGAAGCGCAGGGAAAGGCATCCTAAGGAGAGTGCAGCAAAGAGAAGCTGGGTTACGTGGCACGGCTGTGTGGTGCATCCCTTAAAAATCAAAGCAAATAATACTTGACAGTGCAGACTTGGGTCATTGTCAAGGTATAAAATAGCTCTCATCTTTTTGGAATAGAAAACAGAGGTGCCAGGGTGTGGTCCTTCCTGGTTCTAGGATAACTTTTCCTCCTCATAAAATAGGTCAAAGGCACATTATGAAATTGAGTCACTAGACAACCCCTAGTCTAATCTTCTTGTCCCATTAGAAAACTAATAGTCATTAATCCTGAGTCCTGATCATGTCTCACTAGCAGTATTTGGCCCAGTGAGTGACTCCCTCCTCCTAGCGATGGTTGGGCTTTGTTCTGTCCTGTTTTGTCTCCATACGTGGCTTTCAAGACCCACCCTCTGTGCTTGCCTTCACTTGCCTCAGCCTTCGCTTCCCGGGCCACTCACACGTCTTCTGTGCCATCTCTTCACTTTGGGTAGTCTCATCCTTCTCACCCTGTGTCTTGTCTTCAACCTCGTACATAACGATGACTTTTCTACTCAAATGACTGCCGAGGCAGCCAGCAGGTTCCTCAAATGAACCAAGGAAGGCATATCAAGATCCGTTTTCCTTCAGCACCCAAAACTTCAGACCAAATACACAGGGTTGGCAACATGGCTCCTTCCTCTGTGTGGGTCCTGGGGATCAAATCCAGGTGCTCAGGCCGGGCAACAAGAACCATTCACCCACTGAGCCATCTCGCCAGACTCCAATTTGGTTTTATGAGACAAAACCTTCTGTAGCCAAGGCTGGCCAACTACTTGGTGTGTAGCCGAGGATGCTTCCACCTACAAGGCATGCCCTGTATGTTTTGTTTTGTTGTTTGTTTTCAGTACTAGGAATTGATTCTGGAGCTTCGTGAATTCTAGGGAGCCTGACTACCAACTCAGTTATACTGCCCATTCAACCTCGCCCTGTTTTGATGAGAACTATTAATCGCTGGTTTTTACAGGGGTCAATGCTGATACATTTGGTCTCATTAAGGCGCTGTGTTGCTGCTGTTTGTTTGTTGAGACTTGGTTTCTCTGTGTATCCCTAATTGTCTGGGACTTAGCTCTGTAGACCAGGCTGTCTTCGAACTCACAGAGATCCTCCTGCCTATGCCTCCCAAGTGCTGGGATTAAAGACATGCACCACCACCTCCCAGCCTGTTAAGGCACTTTTTAAATCATATATTTAGTGGATTTTGATAGAAATGAAAATAAGAAGAAGGAATTGAAACATGAGGAAGGAAAAGAGGATGAGGATTAAACCAGAAGTTCCTGGAAGAAGAGGAAGGTAGGAACTAGGCACCCCCAGCTTCTGTGCTCAGGAACCTCTGGCCAAGAAAGAAACCACCGAGCAGGGCACAATACACCAATGAGTCATGAAGTCGCTATCCCTAAAGAACTGCAGGGCAGGTCACCAACTGCCAGGATGCCTAACCAGAGCCAGGAGGCTCTACATAACACAGAGGATGCACAAATATTCAAACCTCTTAGGGAAATTTTCTTCCCTTCCTACCATTAGATGAGCTCTGCTTTCCTTCCTGGAAGGTAAGCACTGTTGCATTTGGCATGGAAACAACACCTAGGAAGTGGAAGCAGAGGGTGTTCAACTTTAGGACCAAGGCCAGCCTGGGCTCAACGGGGAATCCTGTTGCAAAAGCGTGTGCTTCTGATAAATAGTCAAGCATCATCGTTTTCCCACATGAAGGATTCAGTGCTATTCTGTCTTTCAGACAGGGGAAGTCTGCTTCTCTTCAAGCATCCAATGCTTCAAGTCCTTTTTAAAAGTATTTTCTTTTAATTTAACTTTGTTTTCTGTGTATAGGCGTTTTGTTTTCATGTGTGTCTGTGGACCACATGAGTGCCTAGTACCCACAGAAGCCAGAAAGGAGTGTCGAATCCCCCAAAACTAGAATTACAGATAACTGTGCATTGCCATATGGGCGGTGCAAATTGAGCCCAGGTCTTCTGCAAAAACAAGTGTTTTTAACTGTGAGTCATGTCCCAGTGACACCCCCCCACACACACACGCATATTGTTTTTAGAAAAAGCCTTTCTGTGAATCTTTAAAAGAAATCAGTCACTTTAAGGTTGTATAACTGTACAGATATAATATTGTTTGGAATGGCTCCAAAGTATCACTAGACCAACAGGCAATAAGAAACTTGACTCATGCAAAAATGAAGCCGCATAGGATTTACTCCAGGCGAGCAATCATGGTTTATGACCAGATAGCTTGCATTGTAGCTGTAAAGGACTAAAAATGCAGTTCATTTTTAAAGATTCAGTACCGTGTAGTCACTGCGATTCATCCCGCTGATGCAGATGGCTGTATTGATTTCCAAAGGGGCTTTATCCTATAGCTCCAGTGTCAGCTCATGGCTGGAAAAGGTCATGTGTGCTGCCCAGTTGAGGAAAAATATTTTGTAGGAGACTGAGAGGAGAGTCTTGTTTGTCATTGATTTGTGAGGTGCTGAGTATACTTCAGCCTAAGCGCTTATTCCCCGAAGGAGTCTGCTCTGTCTCAGCGACATGAGATTTCCCAGATAGAAAGCATCCCACTTGTGCAGTAACTGCAGTAGCTTATGTTCTATTATTTCAACATTACCTAGACAATGCATGTATAATCATAATTTATAATTATAAAACATGCAGACATGAAATAATGTAGAAACCTATATATTCCGTGTGTTAGTTTGGATCTTTCAACTGATGTTGCCAAATATTTGCAAAAGAATGTTATAAAAGGAAATGCAGGGGCTACAGCGATGATTCAACGGTGCTTTGGTTCTTTTGTTATTTGGGGAGGGGTTGTTTGTTTGTCTTACTCTGTGTTTGGACACAGGGTCTCATTATGTAGCCTTCACTGGCCTGGAACTCGCTGTGCAGACCAGGCTGGCCTGGAACTCATAGAGATCCACCTGCGTCTGCCTCCCGAGTGCAGGGTTCAAATTGTGTTTCATCATGTCCAGCTGGCTCAGCAGTTAAGACCACTTGCTGGTCTTGCAGAGGGTCTGGGTTCCCTTCTCAGCAACCGCAAGCATTCATCTGCAACTCCAGATCCAAAGGATCCAGCTCTTTCTTCTGACCTTGGACATCAAGCACACACATGATGCACGTACGTATGGGCAGGCAAAACACACAGGTAATATAAAATAAATAAACCAAAAAAATGTAAAAGGAAGTGCTACCAAATGATTGAGTTTTTATGTTCTTTTTAACTCAGGGTCTCCTGTAGCCAGCCGTGAACTTCCTGCCTTGATGACTCTGTCTTAGACTCCCAAGTCTCACTTGAGATTTGGTCTCCTGTCCCCCAAGTTTGCCTTGAACTGTGTAGTCAAGGCTGGCCTCATACTCTTGCTCCTTCTGTCTCTGCCTTTCAAAAGCTAGGATCATAGGTGTGTGGTACCACATCCAGCTAAAATGATGACACTTAAACATGAATGGAAATAGAATGAAAGACAACACTCAAGTTAGTTTGCTTTCTTAAGTCTGAGTAGATTTTGAGACACACAAGGAGATAGGGTTCGGGAAGGGCATATAGAACTTTTTTTTTTTTTTTTGGTTTTTCGAGACAGGTTTTCTATGTGTGGGCATATAGAACTTAAAGTAAGAAAATTTGATACCAATTATTGAGAAATCAACTGATAGTATAGAATTACTATCATTTGTGAATACGTACTTTCTAATCTTCAGGAAAAAAATGATACATTCCTCTAAAATAGATGTTTAATAAGTCAATAGTCAATGGACAATTACTGAGTGCTGTAGGTGGAGTTCTGCCAGCCACTTCTCAAATAACTGTTCAGAGACTTAGTGTTAATTATAAATGCTCAGCCATAGCTTGTTTTTAGCTATCTCTTGTCATTTAAATTAACCAATTTCTACCAATATATGTGCTTCCTGAGGCTTGTTTACCTCATGTACGTACTTCCCATTCTGCCAGCTCTATATCTCATGGTGTCTTCAGATTCTCCTCATGCCACCCTTCTTCCTTCCAGCATTCTCTCTGCCCCCAAAATCCTGCCTAGCCATCAGTCAATCAGCTTTTTATTAACACATGAGCACAACACATCTTCAGTGTACAGAAAGATTACTCCACAGCAGAGTGCTCATTATATGTCAACAGCATATAACTCATGAGTTTGCAACCTGTATGGTATCACAGAGCCTTGTCTTCAAAGGGACCCTGAAACTGCTTTGATGGGCATTTGTTGAGTTAAATTTGCTGGCAAGGGTCCCTGTGATAATTAATAGTGATTGTCAACTCAAAAGGACATAGAACCACCATGATAAAAACCTTCAGGTGTATCTACTGTGGAGTTTCTAGACTGGTTGAATTGAAGTGAAAAAAGCCTATCCTAAATGTAAGAGACACAATCCTTGGGGCTGTAGTTCCAGGTTGAATAATAAGAAGAGGTGATCCCTCCTTGTTATAGAACCAGCTGCTCAAACTCATACTGCCATGCCCTCCTCCCATGTTGGACAGTTTCTCTTTGAACTGTGATCCAAATAAATCCTTCCTTCTTTAAGATGCCTTTGTCAAGAACTTTGTCACAGCAATG